AACATGGAAACTACTATAATACATTGGGGTAATATTAGGGTTATAGTAGGGTTTATTGGGATAATGGAAAAGAAAATGGAAACTACTTTATGATTATAGAGGCCTCCAGGCAGATGAAGGCTCAGCACGAGCAGAGCGCAGCTGCCTCAGAGTATGTGCTCAGCAGGCAGTTTGAGGTCAAGTGAGATATAGTCTAAACTCCTTAAAGGAGATTATATGCGGGATGATATAGGGGGTACAGCAGAGGTCATTAAGGGGTATACTAGGAGCTTAGGCTATAGCCTAAGTGCTGTGTTTGAGGAACAGGTTAGGTTAAGGACGTTGCCTGCATGGTTGGGGCCCTATGGCGGCATAGGGCTTCAAGTTGTTGAGGTTTTCCATCCTCAAGAGACCTGATCTTACTTGGGCCCCTTTAAAAGCTGAATTTCTATGCGTTGTGGCAATGACTGGCAATCATGTTCTCTTTTTGGAGGTATTGGCCGTCGTGCCAGGATATTGGTTCATGCATATACATCATGTCAAGTTCTTGTTCGGATGCGTATCCATCATGTCTATTGTCTATTGAATGGGGTGCTTCCCGCTTGTTACAATTGTTTCCACTTTGTACCAGGTTGCCAGATCACTGAAACTCTCTGAATTGCAATCAGGCAGCAGCTAGAGGTGGAACCTATGCTTCCGAACAAGAAGTCGATCCAACCTGGTAACAGCGACGGAGAAAACTGGTTTCACTTGTTGAAGCCAAGGCGCAGATATCGCAGATGACAGCGGAGCGTGAGAGGTCAAGCAGACATGCAGATGTCATCCATGGCGACTCAACAGTGACTGACTGTTCAAGAAGAGGCTGTCGGGGTGTGTCAAGCAGCTTCAATCCGAATGCGAAACAAGGCTGGTTTGGTGCCGGTGCTGTGGCCCCTTTTTTTTGTGCGTGGCCATGATGTGTGAAGGCAAAAGGAAGCCGTGATGCTCGAGGCCACCATCGAGTCCCAGCGCAACGCCACGAGGCCTCGGTTCTCAGTTGCCCAACCTGCACGTGCAGAGTTTGATAGCTCCAAGCAGGTACTTGGAGGCACAGTCTGAAAAAGAAGTGTCAAGCCCTCATGGAGACAACGTTATCGGGCCTGAAGTAGCAGGAGCATAGTGCAGCTGAGGCGAATGCTGCGGCAAGAGATGAGCTGTTGCCTTATGCATACTCCAGTTTCGTGCCAAGCAGAGAAGATCATCACGGAGTCCCGTTTGACACGTACTGTAAAGGTGAATTCACTGCCTCAGACCTTCAACGGACACAGGCTGATGCGAAGGAGAAGGACAGCTGCCCTTCTACCAGTGCACTGCTTGGCCAGTCTGCCAGAGGATCGCCTGACGAGGGCTTTGGCTGAAGCCAACCGAGATCGTCAGCAGCAGGCTGCTGGTGGCATCGCTAGCTGTGACCCGACTCGCTGGCTGTTTAGCAGAGCGGCGCAGGCCCCTGTGCATCTCTTGCACGAGCTCAAGCGCTGGAATCAGGAAGCATCTGCCAAAGTTGCTTGCAAGATTAAAGTGCGCAGAGGCATAATCCTTTGACTCCGCTTACTTGGGCTCGACCCAAGATGCCTCCAAAAGCCTGTTCCGTTTTGAGAGCCCGAGTGTTCCCGCTGTGATTGCCCAGGAGCCCGAGGTGATCAGGCAAGCAAAACAGGGTTTAGGGTTTAGGGTTTAGCGTTTAAGGGTTTAGGGTTTAGGGTTTAGGGTTTAAGGGTTTAGGGTTTAGGGTTTAGGGTTGTGACTGAAGGGCCACAAAGATCCTTAAAAGGTTGAATCGGCTATATGAGGATAGATGGGGTTCAGGGTTTCGGGTTCCCTTGTTGGGAGGCCCTAAGATAAGGATTATAGTTTTGGGGGCAGAAAAGGGCAGGCCCAGATTTGGGAAACCTCTTGATGGATTATGGCAATTTTGATGCCCCTTGCAGGAAGCAATGGCCAGTCACTGTTTGATCAGCAAGCAAGTAGCAGCTTATTGATTTTCCGGCTCGACCTTGTTCAGAGCTCCGCTTTCCGGCAGGGTGTGGCAGGATGCAGAGCGAATGCGTGCAGAGGCAGCATTTTGAGGGCTGTGCGTTCCAGCAGTTCCGGGGTGTATTGCTAGTTGTGTACTGGGCAAGGGTGGAGTGTACTGCAGCTTGCAATCGCCAAGGGGAGAGGTCAGGAAAGGTGGTTGCTGTTTCCCTTTCATCTTGTGAGATGGGACGCTTGGCATCATGACTGCTTATCGTGCACCTTGATCAGGTTCCGCGGGAAGTGCTTCTGAGCGAGCTGAACGAAGCCCAGATGAGATGCAGGGCGCTGAATGCTGCCCTGGATCGGAGGCCTGTTGGGTTCCCTGCCCAGACTTGGGCCTTACATGAATACGCCAAGTTGTGCAGGAGCTTGGATCAGGATGAGGCCTAGATGATACGCACGATTGCAAGATGTAGAATTCCCTCGCCACTTCAGCAATGCAGGCGGCCGGGCAGCCAGAAGCTCAGCGGTGCTGAGTAGCATGTGCAAGTCGCAGCGTGATTTCTGTTCAAGGCTCAGCCAGGAGAGCGGTTGTTGGATATCAGATAGCTTGTTGAGGAGCGATTGCACGCCAGCAGGACTGGGATCGCATGCGACTTGAGCTTCGTGATGAAATGCGCAGTTGGAGCACTCCTCAGTCGGCATCGAGATTCCTTCTCACATTGTGCAGTGATTGCTTTCAGGTTGAGAGGTGATGCGGACAGTCGGCACTGGCAGCCTTCTGACGAGCGGCCAAGGCATCGCGCCACACGACACCTCAGTCCCAGGGGCTTTTCGGGGTATTGGTGATAAGAAGCCGTCAGGCAATCTCCACAAGCTGCACAGTCACCAGCCTCCAGCTCAGCGGTGTGAATTTGTCTGACCTGGTGCAATGTTCCGGGCTGCCTTTGTAATGCTTTCCTTGTGCAAGTAGTGCAGCAATGTGTAGCAATCCTTGCACAGAGCCTTGTCATGATTCGATCATTTGCCATGGTTCATTCTGGCAATGCCATGAATGGCTCCGCTGAGTGTTGCATTCCTGCGTTCGACGGCGCAATTTCCACATGCTGCATATTGAGCCCGAAGCTTCTGAAATCTGAGCGAATAAAGCTGGCAACGCTACTGTAGCCGCATGCAGGTGTTACCAAAGCAAAGGAGTGACTGGAAGTTCGGTGCGCATGTCTTGGCATCTTGTGATTTTGTCATCGCTAAGGCGAGGATTGACCTAGAAAGGCGCTGTCGCAACCTCAGTTTCGTGTGTGGGCTGAGTCAACACTGCAGCCTATCGGGTGCAGGTCAGGATTTGCAGCTGTGAGCTCAGATGAGCATCTTGCCAAGAGGACCTAGCTGGTGCTGCTGCCGAGGTTTCAGCTAGACAGGGCTCTTGAAGATGCTGCAGCTGCGAGGCAAGTTTTTTGTCACTGACACGTCCCAAATGCCGTTCGGCACCAGCTTTTGCACGCCGAGGCAGCGAGCGTTGGACTTGGAGCCACCTGCTAAGTGCGCTAGCAAGGATTCTTCGGACTTGCACCGCTGTCCTATATTGTCACAGTTTCTAAGCAAAATCACTTCGCTTGCTCAGGTGGGACTCTCGCAATCTTATTTCAAGCCCGTGGGTGCGACACTTAGTGCAGAGTCGTCTATTGTCAAACCTGCAGGACATGCCTCTGAACACCCTTTGCCCCTTGCCAGAAAGGCTGTACAGTGGGTGCGCATGGCATGCATGCAGCATCAGTTTGAGTTCTATCCTGCAAACAGCGAGGCTCGCACGCAACCTGCTAATTCAACAGCTCACGTGGGACAAGGGTAGAGAGGAGAGCTGCAGACCCACCAACCCCCTTGCAACCCCATCCCCGAGAAGTTTCACTTGCTTGTTTCATCTTCCGCATTTCGTGCCGAAGGATGAGGAGGATGTGAAAGGCGCCGCCGGTCATGTTCTGAAAGCTGCCACTGCAATAACACATACTGAACCGTTTTCATTTCCCTCACGCCAAAAAAATATGCTTCCGCTCCCCCAAAGCCCCCGTTCCCCAACCCCCCCCTCCCCCCCAACCTCGGGGGTCTAGCAGCTCAGACCTACACCACGCACGGAACTCGGCCGACCAGCCCAACCCGCCTGCCCCACGAAAAACGACAACCAACGGCCGACGGGGTGGGGGGAGGGTCAACTTATTCTCCTAGTCTCCGAACCTGGATGTAAATGCACCAGGCGTCCGGCCCCGGCGGAGGTTTTATGCGCACCCAGACCCTGAGTCCTGTCTTGTTAGACTGTCATGCATGGAATGGGCTCCTTGAAGCATCATTTCCAAAAAAAGAGACAGCCGTGAGACGGCCAGCGCGTTTTGTGAGTGACTGTGTTGCGTGATATCTCTATGATGGCCGTAGAGATTATAGAAGTTATCTCCGTCGAAGATGGCAAAAGAATGTTCAAAGCTATCAGCACGGTGGTTGCATTGTCCACATCTCTTTAGGAGGAGAACTTGGTTGTTTACCACGCGTATGCGTATGTATGCCACCAGGCATTTCCCGCTTTTGGTTTGACTTTGCGGCAAATCTGGTATGGCTTGTGTGGTAAGCGTGTGAAGAAGAACTGCCGCTGTACTGGACAACAGGATATTTCAGTGGCTTCCTTCCTGCATGCGTTGCAGTGGTTTGAAATTGCAACTGTATGAAATACATGGAATCCTGAATCCCGCAAGCTAGGCTGCAAGCCGCGCTCCAGACCTTGCGGATCGCCTGGATGTGCCACCTGGCTTTCTACCAGTGCCCTCAAAGACCTCACGATCATCCGGAAGTGCTTTGGCAGGCAGGCGTCAAAGGAGCTTGAGAAGAAAACCGCAGCTCTGCCGCAAAAGTCTTATCGCTGTAGATGCCGTAATCACTCGCTGTGATGTGCCGTGCCCGCGAGATCTCGCGAGGTTACATTGGAAGCGGAGATGAGCGCGGCTTTCGCTCAGGCATGGTAGAGGTTGGAGTTGGAGTGAGAATGTAGAAGCTACACCAGCCCGAGGCTCATGCTGCCAAAGCTGCAGAGGAGTCCGCGCTGGCTGCCCTATCGGACAACGACTTGGATGTCTAGAGTTTTCAGAGTGTTCTTATTTGGTCATCAAACAACCATTCGATGAATTCGCCATGCTGGTGACTGCTGACTAGCATATCTAAAGCATCTTCTCATTTCGCCATGCATCTTGCTTGGGTACACCTACTTACCTACTTGCCGTACACGGCCACATGTTCGCCTTGTTCACCAACCTGGGACATGGCTGTTGGGTAAGGACAGCGAACGCCGCTGCCAAGATGGCTTGCGACGCATGGATGCAATGCTTGCTGACACCAAGGACACGAGAGTTCTGGTGCACTGAATCGGAGTGTGTTTCAGCATGTGAAGGATCAACAAAGGGATTGCTGCAGGCAGACATTATGACAATATGACACAGTCGAAGATTTTCTGTTCCACAACACGCCCTACCTTCTTTGCAAACTTCGGAGACTTGGTTCAAGCGAAAGTTTGCAACGCGACGCGCCGGGCATTTTGACTTATGACTTGAACTTGGACACCCAAAAATCAAGTATTTGCCAATGTTACAGCAGTGACCTGAACTGAGCTGCCCTAATTTCCTGCTGCCAGCAGTCAACCTCGACCCTGGCGGCAAATACTACTTATACAGTACGAAGATGGAATGTGCTGGGATATTTGTTTATTTGAGGATGCGAGAAGTCATGCCCATGTAGCACGGCTCCATCCAGGTAGTTTTGAATAGCACCGAGGCCGTAAGAACTGGTGGAAGTAAGCAGAGCAAGATTAAGACTTTGTGTAGCGGCCTCGCGAGCACACGTGGCTTTGCCATCTGTTGCTATCTTTTCGGCAGGCAGAGGAAGTCGTTTCCTACATTCCACTGCTATGCTGTGGCCAACAATTATCGAATTAAAGCGGGTTTTGAAATACAGCAGAGCATCGAGCGAGATCCCGGTCAGCGGCACTTCAACCTCACAGCAAAAACAAAGTGAGTGCAAATAGCTGTGGCGCAAACACAGATTTGAAGCTGTTTGATCCCTGTGATTCGGCATTCCAGGCAGAACATGGACAGCCATCCCTAATTCAGATCAGATCTAACTGGGTTCATGTTGTCCAAGGGGAGGGGAGGAAACTGGCCAGCAAGGAGCTGACCCGCGAGCTGGCAAAGCACAAGCACTTGGCCAAGGCCAGGGAGGGCCAGAAAGTAGTCAAGTCATCCAACATCAATCAACCCATCAATCAGAAAGAGCAGCAGGACTGTTTGGTGCTCTCATAACTGCGGCAACGGCATCAGCAAATTAATCAGAATTGCGATCATGCAGGGCATGGATGACCTGGTCCGGCGGCACGAACGAAGGATGATCAGGAGCCTTGGTAGGTCATGAAGGATAAGAGCATATCAGCTCTTGCAGTGTGCGATGCCAGGAATGGCCAAGATCCAGTCCAAGTCTAAGACGCCGTGCCCTCTACATGATGCTATAATGGAGCTGTGTTTGAAAAGGCCACTCCTAGCTTCAGTGAAGTTCGGTCCCGTTCGAGCCGGAGGCCGGGAAGAGGCCAACTGCCAAGACATGGCTGGGCTCGCAGAAAGTTTTTCCAACTGAGGCAGTCTCCGCCGCCGCGGCAAGTTCAGGCCAAAAGTTGCAGTGAACACAGGCTGGGCACAACTTACAGTACAGGATGCCGGCGACTTTGCGAGCACGTCAAGAACGGATTTGAGGCCTTTTGCCGTGATAATTTGATGATGTTGGCACGTGGGCAGATGGCTATGCTTCAGGGTGGAGACGCATCGAACTGCAGGCATCGAATGACTTGCAACCGTGTCTCTAAATTTTGTGAGTCACCATTTTGTGAAGGCTCTTCGCATCCGCCATCGCTATCAGAGTCCCGCTGAGAACTCAGCACCGGTGGTTCGGCTTTTGTGACGCTTCTGACTTGCGGAAGTGCACTGGAGCTACATTGCCAGAGGCTTTGGCTTGCGCAACTTGCATGGTGCTGCAGTCTCAGTTTTCATACTTGCTCTGCTACAGTTTGGCGGGCACCAAGCAGCAAGTGGGCAGCATCATGCAAGGCTGTACTGCCTCCGCCACATTCTCCACCTGCTACGGGAAGAAGTCAAGGTTTGCGTGCTGCTGCGACTTTTGCTGTGTTGCTCCCAGCCAATGACCTGCAGGCAAGCTTCGCAGCGGCTATTCTCCGTCTCCCATGGCACAGGCTGGCATCGTCACCAACGCATTCTGAGATTGTGCGGACTGTGAGGAGCCAGTTTGCGAACGGCGACGGCCAGGGTTGGGCACTTTGTCTTTTCTTCCGCTTCAAGTAGGAATTTCAGTTCTTTCCTTGGCGAGGCTACCGGTCTCCGCCTCAGTGCCCTGGGCTGGGAGCGCCTCTCGCTGGAGGGAGGCCCAGGCTGCCCGGACTTCAGCTTCCTTCGGCTTCTGGTCTTCGAAAACATGGTGCAGGCTGACCGCCGCACGGAAGAGAGGCCAGTCTGCTTGCTCAGGCAGAAATTGAAGGTGGTTTGGTGACAGTCAGTGTTCATTCCCATAACACTACAGCCTTTCCTGACGCGTGCAAATCATGAAGCTCCTGTTTTTGCAATTGAGTGAGGGTGGTGAAGCTGCGACGTCGTTCTTCCTTGGTGGCAGTGGTATGCTGCAGGTTTGCTTCATCTCGCTAATGTCGAACAGCTGTGCCTCACAGCAGCGGCACCCAGACAGCAAGCAAACCCTAGCATGCCTGTGAACGTGCATCTGGATGCATTTTGCTTGCGAACGACTCAGGTGTGAACAGATTGCAATTCAAGGACAATGCACGGCAGAAATTCAACATGCAAGCGTTGATCTTGTCAGATGGTTAGATGGTTCACTGCCAAGTGCCAACGACGCAGTGGCCATGACAGGCTGAGCACCAGCAAGAGTGTGTACAGAAAATACGGCGCTTTCTGACTTATGTAGTTCTTGCGTGCCCTTCCAAGTCAAGCCTGCAGCAGCAATCGCATGACCATCTTTCTTGCAATGCATTTTATGGTGTTGAGATATTCGGTAGGAGCCTTTGGCAAGTGATGGTATTCCTCACAAGATGCGAAAATGTTTGCAAGGTTTTCAGCCTGACCTGTGCATACCTGTGCTTGGGATTAGTTCATGTAGGGGGACCCTAACTTCAAAACACATCATGTGATATGGAGTGAGCAGTCCCAGAACTCATCGCGCTCACCTGCGACGCGATTGTAGTGACACCATGTGGACAAAACCTCCACCGGACGTTTCATGCGTCCGGGTCCTCAGTGCTCAAGTGCCGGCAATTCTCACTGTTCCTTGCAGTTCTTCACATTTGCGTCTGCTCAGGTTAGCAACAGCGTCGAATCGTTTTACCGGGGCACTGTGGCAGGCCTGAATGGGTTTCTCTTTGGTTCATCTTTTCATACTCGTAGCAGCCGTGAGATTTGCAGTCAATTTGGCTTCCCTTTGGTCATGCAATGCTATGATGAATCGATGAGATGAGTCTACAGAGAGCATCCGCACAAGTGGTCTGGCATAGCTGAATCTTTTACTCACACCACACGCCAAAGGGAGCATAAACCTTTGGTTCAGCCTGGATTTTGTTGCCGAGATACTTTGCTGCTGCAGTGGGCGCTGGGGGTTCGAAACGATTTCGGTCTGTACGGATGCCTACATGTAGAAGGGAGCAATGAAAGGATGATGTGCGTCCATACCTACTAGAACTGCAGCTGCATGCAAGCCAGAAAGATGTTGGGAGGGGAGACAAGGGTGGAGGAAATCTAGTTTGAATTGGGTGCTCTCTTCCCCACTTTGACTCTCGCCTGGTTGTGTGATACCGCTGGGGGGCTGCTGTTTCTGTGTTCAAGCTGTCTCGTCTTCAGAGCCACCTCCTGTTCAACGTAACGACAACAAGATTGATTTTCACAGATGTCTCGCAGCTCCGTTCATTTGTGAAAGCTGCAGCATCCTAGAAAATGAAAGCAAGCCATTCTCCTTCATCGATTCACCTCTCCTACCGATAAAGCATGTCAAAGCAGTCAGCCTCATTTGGTGAGAAATGCGCTGCAACACAGCGACCGCCACCAACAACAAGTAGTCTTTTCCTATTCCTCTGCCGACTGCCATTGCTATTCTGTTTGCTCGTACTGCAACTGCTATTGCTGCTGCTGCTGCTGCTGCTGCTGCAACTGCTGCAACTGCTGCAACTGCTGCAACTGCTGCAACTGCTGCAACTGCTGCAACTGCTGCAACTGCTGCTGATACTGCTACGGCTGATGCTACCCCTGCTTTTCCGGATACTGTGATCCGTTCTACCGCGACATCCAGCATGGATTTCTATGGCCAGCAGTATCGTAGTGATGCGGGTTACAACGTGGTGGTCGATGGTTTGTTTCTGGATTGTGAGTACTCATTCCAGAGCCACCAACCGCCTTCCTCTTCTGCAACGCTTGCCCCGACTGCTAGTGAGGATTGTCATGTTGGACCATGACGCGGATGTTGAATGTCTCAGAGGTGACTGTCAATGCTTCTCCCTCACTGTTGGTGGAAATGTTCCTTTTGCAAATGCTGCACGTATTCCGCAGCATGTCCTGACACTTTTCCTTCTACAGCCTCTACAGCATCCTTCAGCTACTGTCGCTCCTGCTGACACCCGCTCCTCCTCCTGCGCCCCCACTCGTGCTGGCAATTCCCACCCGTGCTATCTCTGCTAGAAGTATTGCTGTTATCCCAGGTAGTGGCATCAAGATCGTGCTGCTTCTCTCCCCATGATAGTTCTCATGGCTCTAATATCCGCATTCTCGAATGTCAAGAAGACTCTGCAAGACTAGTTTTGTTTGTAGCTGCTGGATTTGAGGCGGCATCTTTGGCTTGGTGTTTGGGCCGGAGACGGCGGGACAGGGATGATTCCGAAGTTGTTTTGAACTGAAGAAATCTTGTCTTGGCAGGGCGTGGGCGTCCTGGCTCACGTCAAAGGCATGGTTCGGCCAGCGGCGCTCGCTGGTTTTTGGTGTCTTGACAGATCTTGGTTCTTCGATTTCTTTTTTGTGCTCTTTCATTCTCTCTTTCCCTGCCAGCATCTCAGGTGCTTGCTGACCTCCTTCTCGTCGTGTGCAGCATGCTTGCAAATCACATGGTAGAGCTTCGGAAGCCGAAGCCGCAGCATGAGGTTCTGACGAGAGACGGGTTCCCCTATCCGTACAACGGGGCTATTTCTGGGCTCTTTTCAGGCGAGACGTGGCCATCAGGGTCCGAAGTGTGTTGTTGTGTAACTTTGAGCTGCAAGGGGCAGTGCTGAGCATAGTCAACCGCTGGGACAAAGAGTTGTGGCCTCAGCAGATTCAAAGGATGTCGTCGCTCACAGCTTTGTGCCTCAGTTCCACCCTGTGGACTATGGCCGGGAGCTCCGTGCTCAGCATCTTGCGCGACCCTCAGGGAAACAATTCCCACGCGCCACTGGGGAGGTTCTCCCTGTGCTCAGGTCGCACTATGCAACAGAGGGCCAGAGTATGAACGTCAAGGCAAGGAATTCCACGTCTAGTGCTCTTCTGACACTCTCTGTATTCTCACCGGCCGCAGCACATCTGTTTGACGTGCACCAGTTTGCCCTGCAAGCAGCACTGTTTTGCCGTCAATGCAGCAGCGTACCTGCACTTTGCTGACAATTCTGGAACAAGCATCCGTGCCAATGGAATGTGCTTGCAATGCCTCCGCAACGTTGGTGTCCATTGCGGTGTAGATCGCGAGCCATGTCTAAAGGGATCATTACAGAGTTTTGCTGAAGCAACTCCCTGTGGTATGGCCATTGGGACTTCGGGCCGCTGAGGAACTCCGCATCGAAAGAGTCTTTCGAGCAATTGGCCGCCCTGGCCTCACAACATCACGGGCCCATGCTTTTCAACGTATCTAAAAACGCATCTCTATGCCACAAAGCCTGAGGGCAGCAGATGAAACCTTCTCGGCCGCGGTAGCATTACTGGATCAGGAGAAAATTGTCGCTTGTCGGCATTCAGAATCATGTAACGACCACTCCATGTGTTGGGTAGAGAAACCCAACTGAAACCTAGGCACCGTTGCTGGGAGTCTTGCAATCCGTCGCCTGTGCGGCTGATCCGGTCGAAGAGGAGGACGAGGAGGTTTATCGGGCTTGCCCTCAGCATGGAATGCACTCGTTGAAAGCTGCTGGGAGCTGCACTTTGGACCAACACCAAGGATAAAGATTGAGTTTCATTCCAACGTTTTGCCTGAGTTGCAGTAAGTCCTCGTGGAAGAATAGGCTTGTTTGGCTGGTAGCCTGGCGCTCACGAAGGCACATTTGTTTCGCAGATCTCTGGAGTGGTGCCTGGGCAAACATGGCTCTGGGCAGATGACGAGGAGACTGTTGCGGCATCTGTGCTGCAGTGCACGAGAGTGTTCGCATCGTTTGCTTCTTGTCGTTGTGTGCGGTTGTTTTGACTAGCTTTGAGTGAGGCTTTCGATGACGTGGCCGGGACCCTGCTTAACAGGCTGCCCCTTCATCTGCAAGATCAACTGATGCGACCTGCCTGTTACTGGCTTCCTCACGATAGATGTGTGCGTGTGTGGTCATGTAGCTTCGATTGGATATCATAGTTTGAACTGGGCTTTCCCTCGAGGCTTTACACAGCATCATTCACGATCGTTGAGGAGAATGTATACGAAGACGATTCGAAGTGGCATGTGGACTGGCATGGTATTCCAAAGGGCTTGTCCTGGACAATTCTGGTTCCTCTGTGGCCCCTAGTAGCTTGACTCGAAGAGATGGGATGAGAGGCTTTCACGTGGCTCCAATCTGTGTCTCTTGGGGTTCTGCACTGGGGCGCTGAGGATGATAAAGATTGGCGAAATCTGGGTGGGACGCAGCTCTGTGTGAATGAGCACATGCTGCCAAGACCCAAAGCAGTGGCATCTTGTTCTGCTGCGGCTGCAGAAGCCGTGGCTAAGGAGGCGCGTAAACATGTGGAGCCAGCAGCAGTGTGTCGCTTTAACACTTCGAGTCCAAACTCCGAAGGCAGCCATGCAATTTCCTGATCTGTGTGCTCGGCAATGGGCAACCGCAAGCTTTTCGGTGCTCGAGCACGGAAGCTTGGCGCAGTTCCGGGGAGGTGGGAGAGCAACCGCGACTTGCTTCATGCTCTCAGGCTATCGATGGGGGGAGTGCCTCCTGTTTGAGGGTCACGTGCTTCATCGCACCGGACCATATCAGGCAACAGCTGCAGCCTGCGAAGATAACCGCATGAAACTTTCCTGTTTTGTCAGTTGGACAAGCCAACAAGAAGGGTGCTGGCTTCTCTAATGGCATCTTGCCTGCAAGCCCTAGCCTTGGCAGATGAGTTGCTTGATGCCACTAGATGCCAGGTTGGACCGCGTGATCCCAGCCATTGGTGTGATGTGTGTAGAAGTCTTCAGAAGCAGGGAGCCTGTTTCATTCGCAAGCCGCGGATGCCAGATGCTGTGCAAAAGAGTGTCGTGCAAGCTCTTTGCCTCGTGGACTAGTCAGAAGAAAAGCGTAAAGTGGAGCGAGGCTGACAGCAGAAAAGCGCCGGTGAGAAGCGAATGACCTTGCTCTGATATTTTGCGCCGTGAGACTATAAAATGCGTTGCTTGATGTTTGTTCCGCATGGATCTGCTGAAAACAGTCATGGGGATAGAAGGCCCAGAATGCATGAACCAATTTGGCAGAAAGGCTTTAGATGTTTTGGCGCTGTGTAGGCTTCATGATCCAGAGTGCCATGGCTAGGTAACCTGAAGCTTGGAATGCTTTTGAGGGTCGGCCCAGAAACTTGCGGGAGTGGTGGTGCCCATGAAGTAGACCTGCATTCTCATACTTCGAGGTGTTAGGCTGTTGAGGTTGGTTGCCTGGCGTAGCGGTTCATGTATCTCGAAGATACTTGGACATGAAAATTCGATCCGTCCAGCAACCATGCAGCTTGTTTGTGAAGATGATTCCTGAAACCATGCTTTTGAAAAGGATTTGCTGATGAGAGCCGTGCCAGCCAACATGAGTTGTGATGTCAGTAGCTGTTTGTGCAGCGCGAGTCTCCCAGCTCAGCTAGCAAGTGATACCAAGGAGTTAGGCACTTGCATTGCAGTAGCAGGGGACTTGAAGAAGGACCTGACGAATGAAGCCTTGATGCATCCGGCAACCATGAAGCTTATTCCTGAAAATGATTCCTAGAACCATGCCTTTCAAAAGGACCTGCCGAAGGGAGCAGGTCCATGTTCGGTGATCTGTGCATCGCCGGCTCACTGGTAGTGTATGACCAAGCACGAGAACCAAAGCTCCCCTACAGCAGCCTCATGTGCCTGTTTTCTTGGGCAGCCCCAGCTATTGCTTCATGCATGCTTTCTGCTGTTTTGGCTCAGTGCCATTCGTCCCTGGCCATAGCCATGATGGAGGAATCCGGTGAGTTTACGGCTGGAGCCTGAGGAAGCCTGCTAAAGCAAACTCCAGAGTCATGACTTTCGATGAGGCGCTGCTGCGGGCTGGAACAGTTGGTGCAGCAGTTCTTTGTGTTACACCTGCATGTTTGTCCTTGCTGTCTACACTTTCATGCTTGTGCTTGTGCTTGCTGCGTACAATTCTTGGGATCACAAAAAGCCCGCATACCGCTCTCGCTGCAGGGATGCTTTGAATCCGCCCTTCTTTCAAGCAGTTTTAGATGTAGCTCGTTATCAGTAGCTGGTTGAGGGTGTGGCTCAACAGATACGGCACGCTAGCCGGTCTGAGGCTGGGGCTTTGCCACACCTTTGCACCTTGATGTTACATGACAAGAACTCAAACTTCAGAGGCCAATGAGAGGAGCCCTGTCCCTACACGGGGATTTGGAGAGATTACAGGACAGAGGGAAGAGTGTTGGATCATGTTCAGCTAGTGCTGCATCCTGCATGCCAGCTTATCTCATTACATCTGCAACATTTTGTGCGAAGGACACGGATGATTCAGACAGCGATTCCGAGCATGAAGAGTCCGACACCGACCGGACTCATGTTGCTTCAGAACAACTCATGCTGAACAGATCCGTATGAGTTGTAGGTGTTGTTTAGCAATGCAACAAAGATCTCACTTTTGCTTATGGCCAGGAGATGTCGGAAACATCCTGTTTGCTGGCTGTGCGTTATTGCACTTGCTGTGATCCTTGGGCCCTTTGTTGTGGCAATGTGCGACCAGAGCTTGCCAAGGGCGACCGCAGAATGGATCCAGGCCCAAGTTTCCACACCCCTGACACAACCAACAGATCCTATTGCTGACACATCCTTGGCGCTCATAATCGGGTTTGCCAAGCAGCAGGTACGGCAATCATCAGTCCTGGCAGATATAGCTTTTGGTTTGGTGTTTTGTGGCACTCTTACAGCGACCGTAATTGCCACACTGCAGCCCGGCCGGACAGATGAGGACGAACAGAAAGGGACTGTCCCCAAGGACTTCTACCAGAAAGCGACTCTGTCCAACATCACTCAAGATATGCAAAAGCCACAGGGTAGACTCTGGAGCACGGCGCTTGGCCTGGCCTCAGTGTTACTGGTTGTGTCAATGTACACCTTCTGGCTGTATCGTAGTTGGCAACCTTGGGTCATTGCAAAGGACAATCCAGTTGCTTCCCCTGTTATGCAGTATAGTGCTGAACGCCGCTTGCGAATTGCTTGGGCTTTGGTACCCAACGTGGGCTTTGTGCTGGCTGCTATGGTTCCGAGCATGTCAGATGTGGCCGGCTATGACACAGTGTTAACAGCCGTGCATAACGTGTCGGCCCCGTTATCTATGCTTTTTCTCATGATCATGGAGACTGTGCAATTGGGTTTCGGCGAAAACGCCTTTCATTATTTCTTTTCTCATGAGCCTACCCCGCTATACGGCCCGCTCACAAAGTACCAGCGGATGCGGGTCTGCCTGGTCGTCGAAGCCTGGATTTCGGGCATCATCTTTGTGGGGGTATCTTTCCTGCACTTCTTCGAATTCATGTTGTCCGCAGTTATGATGCGACGATCGCCTTTCAGCCAAGGTGCAGGGCTACCTCGCTTTTCGCTCCTTTGCTGCCTTAGAATTAGTTGCCGGGGGGCGCCCCAGCAGTTTGCTGGACTATGCACAAGGAAAAAACAGGCGCTACTGGGTGGCGCTCACATCATACTATGGCGAGGCCGCTCACAGAGCTTGCATGGCGGACCATCTTATTTGCTTTTCTCACAATGTCACCATCTCAGATGTCAGCCAGGTAATTGGCATCATACTGGCATTCTCTTTGCCGGTTGCAGCTGCCCTTGATGTACAACATGTGACCTCAGTGGCGCCACATCTCGCATTTCAGTCGCAGGGTTTGTGCGGGGCCCTGCATGATTGCAGCTCTGCCGTTGCAGCTCAGGTGAACTCACCGACAGCCCTGGCTGAAACTGCCGCCGTTCTACCCATACTATACAAGGCCGGCTTAAATGTAACTCTCCAAGAGATTTCTCAGCGTCTCGCCCACAATGCTGCGCATCTGACCCGATGAAACTTTGCATAATTCACGGATGTCTCTGTGGACGCGCAGACCTGAGTGATCTTCTCGGGACAGGGGACACGGACAGGTTGCCAAAAGTCGGCATCTTCAGTGTCCCAGGGGGGGTAGGGGACTACAACAGGAACAGGGAGTAAGGGCTTTTGTAACCTTCTCCAATCAGAGTAGGGTGGCCCCGTACCCCCATGATTATCAGCTTGATTAATTGATTGCAGAATTCGACCAGCGGAGCATTTGACATCATCAGCTGACAAGAGTTGCTGCAGAAAAGGGGATTCAACAATAAGTGGTTCTGCATAAAGCTTTTAGTCCTGCTCCCCAATGTGTGGCAGCACGGCAGTACACTAACCTGCGCCTGCGACCATGGACCCTTCTGCCGAGATGCGACACAAAGGCAGCGCCACAGAGCAGCTTGCAATCTCAAACACATTTTGGCAGCCTCTGCTTGGCCCACCAAAGTTTGAGGCTTCAAAAAGCAGTGGGCTGCAGAAATACAAAGGCAACTTCCACTTGAGGTGAGGACACGATCTGTAACATCATTCTCAGCCACTAACACACGCAAATCTGAAAGACCCAAAGCTTTAATCCTTCACCTCAAACCCTCAAATCTATGGACCCTAAATCTTAAAACGAAGAATAGTGAGGCCGGGGAACCCTCGAGGAAGCTTCGTGCACATACCCACAGCTTTGTGAGGTCTTTGTTGGGGTCGCGCAGGGGGGGGGGGGGATGGGGGCCTGTGACGCTGATGCTGACCCCCATGCCCTTTCTTGGGGCTTCTTTGGGGGCCTAAATGCTCGCTTCTTCGGTGTGTTGTAGGTGCAAGCAATTGTTGCGAAAGTCCGCGTGAGAGGAAGCTTGGTTCCTTAGCCCGGACTACGTGAGACTGAGAAGCTTGGGGGTCGTGTAAAATCCTGCCAGAGTTTGTTTGGGGTAATTCTGGAGGCGGAGGGGCCACCACAGTTTTTTGCATGGAGAACGGGCAGGTCTGTAGATTGTGGTCGCTGCGGTCAGGGATGCTAAGTTGTGTGACTCAGCCCTTGCCGCGTGCTCTAGCATGGATATGCATGGATGCTTGACATGCACAGGACCTGCAGGACCTTCGGATTCAACTCAGGTCACCAGAGTAACGAAGCTTTGGCGACGACGTGCGCCTTTACCCTCTTCTAGGGATGTGCTAGTCGTGAAGCATTTCCAGGGCTGAGCTTTCGTTCCCACTGCTGGCTCTCAAGTCATTTTGACTTGACTCATACTTTGACCCTAACAGACTTTGTGGCAGACTCATGCGCTGACCTACCTAGCCTCCATCCCGGCCGCAACCTACCAAGGATGCTCCTACCAGGGAGATTAAGCCTTGCAGTCAGACTGGGACCAGTAGATGAGGAGCATTCCCATAAAGTTCCTATGAACTTTCCTTTGCGCTGCTGTTCAACCTCCTGCTCCAATTCCTCGTGCCAGGTTCTGACTCTGCCCCTGGACGTGGCCAGACACGCCATGCAGGCCCTGACAACTGCGTAATTTTGGCATGCCATGCCATGCCTCAAGCTGTTTGGTCCACATGTTTCTGCCCACTAGGCCGCTCTGTCAAAGAAAATGCCATCTCCGGGACTTCTGGAGGCGATTGCAATTGCCACAGAACCAGTCGCCTTGCGCACCATCCTGTCCTTGCAAGGCCTTACGGGCAGCATCATCCCCTCCAAGTGCCTTTCTTGGCTGGCATGTAGAATTTTCTTTGATAAGCTACAGGGCATGCTGCACCATGCGTGAAGATGAGGTGGACTTTTCCGCGGACTTGTTCCTGCTCAGAGCTAAGCATTGAAAGCTCTCTGGCAAAGCCTGAGCAGAGATTAGATTCCTTCAATTCGAGGCGCTTTGCTGCTCTGCAACGGGACCCGCAGCGTTTCTGCTGGGTTACGAGGTTCCTGCCAACTGCAGCAGACCATGCTAGCCAACCTCATTAAAGGCGTTGGTCGGGCTTGCAGCAGACGGGACAGTAAAGCCTGCCGGGCAGTTTGCAAGGGTTCGCGGCGAAATGAAACTGAAGCCATACACCTGATGTTTGTCGCGACCCTTGCAAGAGTGAGGAAGGAATTGCTTCTCTTTGGTGGCAACCGAAGTAGCAAAGCCAGAAGATGCAGGGGCTTTACGTATCTACAATATGCTTAGCGCTGTGAGCGTTGGAATGTGACCAAAAAGCCCAGCTCGAGCAAAGATGAATCAGCCTGAGGTAAAGACTCTGGGACCCCATGGCAGTCCGACGTTTGCATTGATAACAGGTTCTGCCCCAGGTTCCACGCAGGCATTTGCTCGGCAAAAATGCCACAATTCCAACTTTTGGGCCTTGAGCACTGTAGACATGTCAGGTTTCTATCATGTTTTATCCGGCATTGATTTTGCGCCGTCACTATCACGGGCTACTTGATGAACCTACCGTACTTGTTCTGCCCGCTGCTCTGCTCTCAAAGTTGCGGCGAGTCCTAAGATCGTCACCTGAAGGAGAGGCGGTGGTGGCGGTCGCAATGGCGGCGGTGGCGGCGTTGGCGCCAGCAGTGGCTGTGGCCCTGGCCGTGGCGGTGGTGGTGGCGGTGGCGGTGGCGGTGGCGGTGGCGATGGAGTGGTGGGCAAGAGAGTAGGAGCGGTTTGCGTGCTGATGCTTGTAGTCTTGTCGTTGCTACTCGTAGTGATTGATGATGGTCCTGCTAAATGGTTGTTCTGGATGCTGGCGATAGACATGATGCGCGTTCGAGGACAAGCAACACAGGTAGCGGGTAGCGAAAACAAAAGGCGAATCACATCAAGGACCCACAAAGCAAATCCAAGCCCTGCCATAAATAGGGAAAACTCGCGACTGTCCAAAAGATTCGGCTTACCAATTCTGGCCTGGTCGGCTGCAGAGGAAATCTGGGGGTTTCCCAAAATTAGGGGTACCCTTTTGTGGGTCCCTATAATAAGGACTATAGTACAATAGGGTCTATTTTGGGGTCCCCCTATTTTGGGAAACTACCATCTAAAATCTGGTTTGTGTTCATCTTGTTCAAGCTACACACGGATAGCCCTAGCCCTGAAAGCTGCGAGCTGAATGCAAATGGCAGGTGCAGCGCGGTTCCAAGGAGGCCCCAACTCTGTTCAGGGTGACCGCAGCAGCAACGCCTGGGCATATTGTGGTATATTATGGTATATTATGGTATATTATGGTATATTATGGTATATTATGGCATATTATAGTATACTATGGAATATTATGGTCTATTATAGTATATTATAGTATATTATGGTCTATTATGGTATATTATCAGCAGGTGTTGGAAGCCGGAATGGTGGCCAAGGCAGCCTGCAACTCAGTCAGCGTCCTTCTGCAGTGTGCTTTTGCTTACTGGTCCTTAGTAGGGAATAGGGACTGTAATCCTTACATAATTCCTATAACAACCTATTTATATAATGCCTAAGTAATAGTAGAGAATAAGGGAATGTAATTCCCATATGCTCCCTCTACACCACATATTTGCTTATAGGAACCAGTAAGTTTGATCATGGAGTGTATCATTGAGTCACCTCCGCAGAGCTGGAGGTCCAAGTGGCTGCTGTCCAGCCCTTCGACTTTTTCCGAACATCTTGGCAGGTGTGGCATTTTTCGCATGGTGGAAGATTGAGATGATACAGAGGGACGATTTGCCTCAGTTGATCATGATTCTTCTCTGGAGCTTTGGATTTTCAGCTACAGCTAGGCGCCACTCTGAGTAGTACGAACCTTCATGCAATGATGGCCAGAATAAGACCAGCTTATGAGAAGCCATCGCTGGGCCACGCAGGCATCACTTCTGCTGAAGGAGGCTAGTGCTCCACACCTGCTACGGGGACCTTGGGAGGCCAAGCAACCCTAGATTTCACTGTCACAAGTATGGGTCAACTTCAGGGAGTCCTTTTCATGAGATTCCCAAGAGGGATGGGCGGACCTCTATTTGAGAAATACCCGATGAATTCAACTTCTCGTCATTAGCAGGTAATGACCACCGATGGCCCTCGGTCGCTCTGGCGAGGCGGGCTGCTTTGAAATCGAAGGGCTCAGCGCTCCTTTCCTTTCATGCTCGGACTGCAAGAACAGGGTGCACCCCTCTGCTGCACATCATACGTCTTGCATCGTGATTGAAGGAAAATCCGCTTCCATGCGCTTCTGCTTCTCGGGCTGTTGCAAGGTCTGATTCCGACGCTCTTGCGGGACATTCCAGCTGCTGGCACGTTCTGGCAGGGCACTTGCACAGGGCTCGTAGACAAAAAGAAGGCCGAGCGTCCGGGAAAGGTGGAGCTACATGTACCTCAGCCAGACGTTGATGAGAGAGAGCTGGGAGGAGGACGCAACTTGTGGAAGGTCTGCTGTTAGCCGCGGAAGTAGTTTTTGAGTTGAATGAGGGTGGCTTTTGCGACGTCCCACACATGGCTGCTGGTTCTGTGCTCTTCAGAGTCTTCAAAATGTTCAGCCAGAGCCATGGCGCCAGCGGAGTGGATTTGCGAACTGTGTACTGACATCCTCCTGGACCCACTGACGCTTCTGGGTTGCTGTCAAGGAGCTTGATGAACGTTACGAAAGTGGGGGAATCATACTAGTTACTATGCTATACGTATGCCCATTCTGGCAACTTAGAAGTAAGTCTTTCGACAGCAACCTAGGCTTCCCTGCTGCGGAGAGTCCTTTTGCAAGACCTGCTTGCAGCAGTGGACGGTCGTGAAGCTGGAAGAGGGAGCACCACAGGCCCGGTGTCCCAGTGGCTGCGGGAAACAGATAGACTACCGACTTCCTGGAGTCTCAAAACTTCTCCGGAGCTTCCTGGAGTCTGCGCACGCAACCGAGCTGGATGAGCGCAGAAAGGATCAGGAGCCTGAGGAAGCTATGCCAGGAGGTTTTGATCTCTGGCAAGAAATAGCAGCATCGCGCGATCTTTTTGTCTGCGGCAGTCTGGCCGTTGCCTTTGGTAGCAGTGGCATTGTGCTGGCCAAGTCCGAGGAAGATCGTGTAAAGGTCAAGTTTGACAGTTTCGTACGGGGAGCCAGCGGGGTTTTCAATGTATCTCCCGAAGAGATTATGCCTCAGCTGCCCAGCTCATTTGGAGTAAAGATCGGCCAGCGTGTTGTCGCCGCACTTGATCTTGTGGTGCGTGGTGCAGTGGCGATACCCTTTGCAACATTGGGTACCGTTCTGGGTGCAGGAAGCTCACCAGACAGGATCACGGTGCTTTTTGATTCGGCGGCTGAGGGTTTTCCTAGCCGCCTTGACATCCAAGCCTTCGAGATTGCACCCAGCCAAGAGCTCATAGGCTGCGGGTTGGGTTCAGGCAGATGCCATGCTTTGGCAAGGTATGGTAAGGTTTTTTTGCACTGCGCGGATTGCCTTTGTGCATCATCCGGCAATCTCCCAGTATCCAGGACCCAGGATTTGGTAATTGAATTTAAGAGATGGATGCTGCGAGCTACTCAAGGAACATTTAACGTAGATCAGCACCAGTCGAGGTCATGTCTGTGCACGAAGAATTTGGTTGATTGTGCATGCCTCTGTAGGTGGGTACAAAGTGGCCCAGCGCGTGAAAGCCTCGGAGGACATCCTGTCGCAGGACTCCTCAGCCTTTTGCTGCCGGCGTTGTTGTTTTTGCAAGCTTCTCAGGACCAGGTCCTGGTCAAGCAGGGCTCGGTGGGTATGGTCCTATCTCAATATAGCGACACGCGGCTCACGGTCAAGTTTGAGGACAGACTTGATGGTCGCTCAGAGGCCAGCAGACGCTTCTTCGCTGTTTTTTTTCTCAAGTGAGATGGAAAGCAAACGCCAGGCAGTGAACCTGGTACCAGCAGCAATTGAGCCGAGCTAAAGTGAGTTGAAGCTGCCTTGGGTGTGCGCTCCTCACTGTTTCTCCCGCGGTGCTAGATTTGAAGCCAAGAAGTGCAAGGACGACAGGTTGCAGCGGCCAATTTCCCTGTGGTGCCTCCAAAAAGGGAGGAAAACCGCTTGGCCGTTTTCTGCAGCCTGCCTTTCAGACTGCGTCAGCGTCAGCTGTGGCCGGCTTTCATGGCTTCGAGACCAACATGTTGCATTTTGGGAGAAGGGCAGCTACCGTTCCTGTGCTATGGCCTGCCCAGTTTTTCTTCTTTTTTCCAGGAGTTTGATCCAACAGCAATGCGGCAGCGAGCCCTGCAATCTGCCTCCATCAGCTCAGTGGTCTACTCAGCACATCTTAGGAGAGCAACACTGTTGTTTCATCACGAGGAGCTCTTTAAATGAAAGGCTTGTGCGGCGGGAGCTGCCCTGATCACGCAGCCGATGGACGTTGTCAAGACGAAGATGCAGGAAATGCAGCCTTAGTTGTGCGGATGCTTTGAGTTCTTAGTAGCATTGCATTTTGGACAGATCCACCGGATGCTAACGTCTCGAGATGATGGCTTCAGGAGAGTCAAGGCCCACATTTTGTAGAGCGAGTGCATGCAAGCGATCAATGCTGATGAAATCTAATGAAGGTAGCTCGCTTCTTTGCGACACTCCGGGAGACCTACCAGGCCACAGGCTGGCAAACCGAGGTGAAGCTTTGTGCTGTGAAGAAAGTCATGCTGTTGTAGGCTTGCGGGGCCTTTGGGTCGGGGGCACTCCACGAATTGCCAGCGCGGCTTTCGGTGGGCTGCTTCTAGGCCGCTTGACTTACTAAACATCAGAGTTAGTTCGAGCACGCATGTAAATTTGTTCAGGCCCTGCCTTCGAGTATGCGCAACTACTGAGTAGCGATTCTACCAGGCTCTGCCGGCTTTCCTGCATTTTCAAGATGCCATGCTCTTGCCCCACACATCTGGTAGGCCTCTCAGAAGCCATCTGGACCTGGGAGAGGCCAGCTTTGTGTGAGCAAGAGCTACAGCGAAACTGGAATGACCCTGTCCTGAAATTCAGTTGCACTGCTATCAGGATCCCGGGAGGACTATCGTTCACCCGCGAGCAACCAAGGCAATGTTCATTGAAGCTCGCCTGCATATTCGGAGCACAACCTTTAGCTAGTGGTGCGATTGCTGCCCCTGCTCCTGCTACTTCCCTTCCAGATCATATGCTCCTCCAGCACCAAGGATGTGAAGCTCTAGCGGCTGTTTGAAAATATGCTGTCAAAGTGCTGTTTCTTGCTTTGTCTTGCATCTAGCAGCTTCAGTTGAAATTACCAACACTGGGCAGAGGGTCCTTTCATGTGCGCGTGGATGCTTTCGGATCTCAGCGTTGCATGCAGACTAGATGCCCTAGTGTTCCGAGCGTGAAGCATTTGCCTGGTGCTAAGACTGCTCTGTGAAGAGGAACTCTCATGTTTGAGCTGAGTCAGTAGTGAGAAAAGGATCCGAAAGGAATCCTTTCACATCGCCGGCTCGCCGTTCAGGTCCAGACGTACGTGCGCCTTCAGCGCTGAGACCTAAGTCGGACGAAGGCGTTGCTTCCATGGGAAAGTCCAGCCCGGCCAAGAACAAACACGAAGACCTCGTAGTAGAACGTAGGACCAAAAAATGTGCTCTGTGCACAGCGATGGAAGACAGAAGTGATGAAGACAGATTTGAGGGCCTTGTGCAAACATGTTAGCTGGTTCTGCCTGGATCTTTGAAGCTCCTACGATGTTGCCAGGAGAACAGCCCGCTAGTAGGTGAGCAAGGTGCGGATCTGCTGTTGATGGGGCTGACGGCTGGTCCTGCTTTCCATCAGCATGCTGCCAGATGGACGACGATGCTGGTGGTTTCGATGACAACGAATTCGATGACGAGGATCAGGCTGGGGCTTTTGGATTGGCAACCGCTTCTGTCTGAGTCCGTGATTCAGGCGTCTGACCTCGGTGCTGACGGAGACATCCCAGAGATCGAAGGAGACCTGCGGGCTGACAGGCCCTGCTTGCAGCCACTTCTGAGCTCTGTCAAGGCGATGATGACCTTGCCGACGACTTCGACATGGAAGCTCGCGTGCTCCTCTCAGACCAGGGTGTAAGCTTGAAAGCTTACGGTACGAGAGAAGATGCGCCCAATCGGTAGCTACTCAAAGCTACTCTGCCATGCATTTTCTCGAGTGGTCAGGTGGGCCACCTGTCGCGTGCCGACATCGCGGATTTGTCCCCACAGGCTTCAAATCTGTTGGCAGTCTTTTCCTTTTGCGTACTGCGAGAGCAAGTAAATCGAGCTCGCAGTGCTTGCCTCCGGAGGAGCAGTTACAGAAATGGCATGAGATGCTCCTCTCTGCTGAGGCCAGCTATGCTTTCACGTGAACATGGCAGCGTATCCTTGAAGCGCAACGTTGTCGAAAGGTCGACCTCATCTCGGAACTAGATGCCCAAAGCTGAGCAAGCAAGCTGAGTGTTGCAGTGGGAGAACCGTGGTGCAGAACCCGACAAGATCCAGTCTGACGAACGCCTCCAGAAGTGTTAAGTGCGGGGACGCAATCCTTGGCTTGGTGTGTTTCCTACCAGGAAAACCCGTCAATGATCAGAGGAAGCAACTCTTCGGGCAGGGCCTAGACGGGCTCATCTCAATTGCGTGACTGTTGTTTTCGAAGTTTTTTTTTTTTTTTTTT